GGGGTGGGCCTGCGGCCGCAGGAAGGGGACTGACCGCTCCGGAGGCAGGCCGCCCGCCCTGCGCTGAGGCCTGGGAGTGCCCGGCTAGAGAGGGGCAGGCGGGCCCTTTCTGGAACCTTCCTCCTGCTCAAGCTCCCAGCCACCCTGGGGTGCCACAGGCCCCGTCACCCTGTTCAAGGGGCTCTGGGTGGTGCGAGGACAGGCTCCTGGCCAGGGCAGTGGCCCCGGTGTCCTCCCGCCTCACAGGGGAGTGGACAGGGGGAAACGCAGCCACACGGCCTCCTCGGACGGGCCTCCTTTGGGGTGAAAGGCCTCCTCTGCCCCAGGCCCAGGGAGGACGATCCTGGCACCCGAGGTCGGGCAGCCTCTGACCTGCCCAGTGCCATGGGCACAGGGGCAGAAAGCAGCACTGGGCTGCCACCCAGGGACACCCGGAGGACCACTGAGGGAGGCTCGGCCACACCCCTCCCGACCTCCTGTGGCCCTAACCCCACAGCCTGGCCATTTCTCAAAACTTGAGGCTCCTGTCTGCTTGTTCGGTGACCACCCGCCCCTCACTCACTCCTGTCCCCTCTGGGGTCCCCTCCTGCCTCCTCTGGACAAGAGGCACGGCCCCAGCTGCCCCCGCAAACACCCTCTGGACTGGACGCCTCTGGAGCACAGCCTGCAGATGGCAGGGACGCTCGGTCACCGGGTCTTCCTGACTCTGCCCGCCCGAGGTCTCCACACAGTTCTCCAAATCTTACTCGGAACCCAAGTGCAAGGCAGGGATGAGCTGGTCCCCCAGCCGCAGAGAGAGGCTGTGGGAGGTCAGAGTGGCCTGAGCTGAGCTCGTGCAGATGTGGGGGAACTGCCTGCCCGCTCTTTGCCCCTCCCAAGACCGTGTGTGTGCACAGAGCCGTGTTACACGTGTGTGCATCCCCCGCTTCAGGCATGAGCAGCCCATGGTGGCACCTGGAGGGAGAGGCTGAGGAGTCCAGACTTTCCACATCCCGAACGCAGCACTGACCTGAGTGGCAGAATCTCCTAAGCTTTAGGCACCAGGCATCTGGGGAATGCGGTGGCCGGGAAGAAGGGGCGACACCTGGGAGGAACCAGAGATGCTGGTTAAGTCTCGGGAAGGAGCACCCATCGATGTGTGGGGCACACATCCCTCATCTGTACCTGCTGGTCCGGCCCACCTGCCCTGAGACCCCACAAAGCCGGCACAGCTTAGGGCCACCAGCGCCTCTCAGGAGACCCCACGGGCTGGGAAGCTGCTGGGTCTAAGTGACTTTATACCCAAAACATGGGCTGAAACACTCCTACAGAGTGTCCCCCAAAAACGTATACACACATTAACAAACAAAGTCTGTAGATGTTACTACATTTGAATGCCCCCGGGGCATTCTGGAGCACACTGCATACCCCAAAGCTCCACTGAGAGGCATTCCTAGTCCTATGGATGGGTAAACTGAGGCTCATGGCACCAAAGGAGCCCATCGAGTGTAAGTTCTTAGGAGCTGGGCTGGGGGCTCGGTGTGCCCAGGGGCAGGGTGATGGCTCGGAGCTTACTCAGGAGAGCCTCCAGACCAAGCGTTCTGCCGTCCCAACCCTCCCTAAGTCCATCCGATTCCAGGAGAAAAGGCCCTGGCAGGCGTGCAACCCAGTGAGGGGAGCCGGCTCACAGCTGCCCTCGACCCTTGTCCTGGAGGGGTCTTCCCCACCTGCCAGGGCCAGGCTGGGTTCCTCGGGCACTCTGGACCAGGCTGCAGGCTGGGGGCGGCAAGTGTGGGCTGGTGTTGGGGTCTCCTGATAGATGGGTCCTCGTTCCCCTCCTGGCCAGGCCACCCGCCTCCTGGGCTGCCTCCCTGCCCGGGCCCAGGGCAGAGACCACCTTACCTGAGCTGTGCACTTTCCGAGCATCTTCTGAAGGCTGAGATGGCTCCCACTTTCTCTGGGGGTGTTCTGGGACGAGCCACATCCTGTAAGACACAAGGTGACCAAGACGTCAGCTCAGCAAGCCTGGTGGCACATGGCCCTGAGAACAGGAGGGGGCTCAGTGCGGCCCCTTCCTCAGCCTCCCACTGACTCCTCAAAGACCCCTGGCGATGGGCAAGGGGTCACACTCCCTTTAGAAGGATGGGCAGAGAACCCTAAGAGCTGCCGGGGCCGGGAGTCACTGTCACCACCGCATGGTGTGGAGGGGGAAGGGATGCCAGGGCCCCTGCCTATCTCAGGGTCACTAGTGAACTTCAAACTGGGGTCCCTCGGGGGCACAAGTACCCCCAAGTTACAGAAGCAGAGCTGCTCACCCATGCCCATGAGGATCCCAGCACTCCAAGGCATTCCTGTGTCCATCTGCAAGGTGACCCAGGGCTGCTGGGCTCCCATTTCAGCTCCGCCGTGGTGGCCCTGGACAAGTCCCTTCGCCTCTCTGGGCCTGGTCTCCTCACTTGTAACAGAGGGACAGCAAAGCCACCTCCGATCCACGTGCAAGATTCAAGAGGGTGCATGTTCTCACCTGTCTGAGCTTGGTGTAAGAGCCCAGGGGCACTGGAGACGTGCGGGAACACATTCCGCGCCTCATGCCTGGAGAAATTCCTTCCTGGCCTCTAATCTTACAAGTGACGCACTTGCCTGGGGCCAGGGTGGACACAGCCAAGGGCAGGTTGGGGGCAGGGGGCTATGAGCCCCGGCAGGAACTCCAATCCCAGAGGCTCAGCCCCGACTTGTCCACACTTGTCTTTGGCATGAAATGTGGCCCCTCTCCAAGGTCACGACATGTAGGAAAAACACCCTTCCCGCCCCAGCCTGGTGCTGACGTGCGGAGCACGCAGCAGGCCCTCGACTTACGTGGAGAAATGCCAGGGGAGTGACCGAAGCCTGACCCTGGGTCACGCCATGCCGGACACCCAAGGCCTCGGAGGAACCCAAGGGCAAGAGGGGTCAGGAGTGGGCCATCGAGTTTGTGTGCGGCCACACCCTCCAGCCAGCGTTTGCAAGAAATGAGTCCCCATCTCACTGCGTTGCCTGGGCCAAAATGGCTACAATAGGAACTTGGGGTACATGGTCGGGGCGCAGGCGAGCTCAAGTCCCCAAGGACACAACATCTAGGGGCAGAGCTGCCAGGCCTGGGGCGGAGCCCAGGACCCAGAGACAAACAGGTCACAGAATCTTCCGGGCTGTGTGGCCTTCAGGGACCTGGCCCCTCTGAGCCCCAGTTTGGTATCTTAAAAAGGAGCCTCTGAAACGCACTGTACCGAGCGGACATCAGAGGAAACGAGTGAACGTGAAATCCCAGTGCTCGGCAGGGACGCACTGTCGGTTTTCAAGGGAGGCAGCCGCCGGCACCAGGCAATTGTCTCCAGAAAAGCCAGCGACCTCCAGATGCGCCTGTCTGCACACCCACCTCGAGCTCCGCTAAGTCCAGTTTGTCATAAGCAACGGCCCCCATCTAGCTTGACGACAAAACCGTTTTCTCTACAAAAGTCACCTCCAGATGCCGCAAAATGCCCTGGCCGGTTTGGCTCCGTGGTTAGAGCGTTGGCCTGCGGCCTGAAGGGTCTTGGGTTCGATTTCTGGTCAAGGGCACGTACCTGGGTTGCAGGCTTAATCTTGGCGCCGGTGCCAGAGGCAACCAATCGGTGTGCTTCTCTCACATCGATGTTTCCCTCTGTCCATCCCTTCCAGTCCTCTAAAAAAATCAATGGACAAAAGATCCTCAGGTGAAGATAAATCTAATAATAATAATAAAAATAAATAAGTAAAACGGCCACAATACACCATCACCCCCCCCACGACCTACTGCCCCCCCCCTTTGCAAATGGCTGTCTTTGGGGGAACATTCAGCGATAACCTGGGTGGGTCAGCTTCACTCTGGCCACGTGGCGCCATCCCACCGTCCGGGGCAAGGAGTGGTCTCATAAGGCCCCTCAGATGAGCGCTAACAGGGACTGTCTTTGGCGGAGGTGGCGCAGTGACCTTGGCGGCTTGGGCTGCAGCACCGAGCGCGTACACCGAGGCCCTTCTCCTCTCCCGTTTCAGTTGCTGGACTCTGTTCCATTCATTCATAAAATGTTCCCCAAGAGCCTGCCCTGTGCCAGGCTGATGACTTCGGCCCATTCTGCCCGAGGTGCCCAGCCGCCCAGGGCAGACACCTGTGTGAGCCAATCCCCCGGCTCGGGGCCACGGGCACGCGGGGCAGTGGGCCCGTGAAGAGCAGGGAGGGGCAGACGGGGCTGCTGGGGGCCTGCAGAGTCCCAGGAAGGGGAGACTGGCCGGGAGCCCTGTTAGGTGGGAGACGGGGAATCGTGATCCCTGGGTGGGCTCGACATGGGCACCCCCCGAGGGGCCCAATCAAGGGTGGGGGGCGGGCAGAGATGCTGGGGACGTGCTAAAAGACAGCAGGACGGCAGGAGGTGGGGATGGTCCGGGTGTGGCTGGGCTCACTGCCCCCCCACCAGCAGGTCTGGGGGATGAAGGGGACTGAGGCGGCGAGGAGCCCGCCTGCCATAAATCACCACGCGAGGCTGTATAATTATCTGGGCACTTAAGCTCTTCTTTCTTTTCTTTCCCCCCTGGGGAAATTTCCTTCATTTCCCTCATCTCCCCGCACGTCTAAATCAACTCGGCGGCCGCTGCCCACTCTAACTCCCTTGGCCAGCCTGACCGGGGAGGCTGGGCTGGGGTGCAGAGAGGTGGTGGCTACCGGGATGCGACGGCTCCGACCCACCAAGTGTCACTCCTGCACCGAGTTTTCTGGGACAGAAAACTGCAAATGCCACCTCAGCCATCCTTGGAGCTGCGGCAACCATGGCCCCAGGGCCCTTCACCTGCTTCTCCGGCCCCTGGAATCTGTCAGCAAACTGAGGGGGGGAGTCAGGCCCAAAGTTGAGTGGGGGATGGGCTGGGTCCCTCGGCCCAGGTGAGGAATGTCCGGCCACACCCAGACCATTCACACCATGCCGGCTACCTGGCCCTCCAGCAGCGGGGCCAAGTGACCTAATGGGGACACTCTCCAGCTTATAGACAGGGAGGTGGCAGCCTGTGTGGCCACCAGGAGCGATTTGCGTGGTGGTCTGGGGGGTGGTGACACCTCCCCAGGATGTGGGTCTGGGTCTGGGGGCTGCCACACAGCCACGGACCAGCCCTGGGTGAGCTTTTCAATGTCACGGAGCAGCAGCACCCTCCCAGGCCTCTTGGGGATGAGCCGACCGGGGTTTTTTTTTTTTTAAAGCTGGATCTCTTTTTCTGCCCATATTTCTGACCTCCGGAAACCTCTCGGGTAGTTTTCCAGAGCCCTGCAGGTTCCATCACAGGCACATTTCTTGCCTCCGCTCGCTGCATTCGCAGCCAGGTCACTGGGCACCCAGCAGATGCCGAGCAGAGCCTGGTGGGCACAGATGCCCATAGCCAAGCTGTGGGTCTGTGGCCTCCGACTGGCTCTCAGCCTCGCAAACAACTATCTACGATCAGAGTCTGTGACTCCTTCCCTTACCAAAAAAAGACACCAAAAAAAAAAAAAGAAAGAAAAAAAACCCCTCCTTGAAAATACAAAAACTGCAGACTGAGAATCTGGGCGAGCTGGCACTGCTGCATTTTGTTTGGTCGCCTCCCTTCTCGGCACCACACGCTGCGAGTAACTAGAGTTCAATCCTCCCATTTTACAGATGATAAACTGAGGCCCAGAGAGAGGAAGGGGCTTAGTCAATGCCTCCTGAGACTCTGTGGCCCAGCCAGTATGAAAGCCTGGGGCCCCTGACTCTGGTCCAGTGCTTCACCCTCAGCAGCTGCTGGTCGAGTGAGAAAGGACAGGGTTTGAGCCTGGAATCTGCCAAGACCCACAAAAGGCATGGCCCTGGGGGGGCTGGGCACCGAGGGATGCCAGGCAGGGTGGGCGAGCCCAGGCCACTGGGACTGCTAGGTCCCCTGGCACAGAAGGCTGGGACTCGGTAATGCGGGAAGAAACCCCTAGGGGGAGCCTCGAACTCCAGGGGCAGCGCTCAAGGAAAGCAGGCTGGCTGGCCCTAATGGAAACCAGTCAGTGGCCAACTGCAGCAGGAGGCCCCCCATGGTTTCCATGGGGACGGAGCGGGGAGGCAGAGCTCTGGCGAGGTTGCTCAGCAGATGTGGCCTGTGCAGGGCTGGCGTGGGGTGGCGGGAGGGGCGGCGCTGCGCCTGGCAGCCGGGCCCTGCCTGGGACGTGGCAGGCCCGGGGCTGGATGCAGGACCCAGCCTGCGGCCGAGGGAGGGGCCCCCACCTCCAGAAGTTTCCTAGATTCCAGGGCCTCGGATGGACACCGGGTGCTCCAGGCTATGTATCTGCTCTCCACGTGCTAGGCCCAGCCCCACCCTCCTGGCTCCATCTTGTCCTGGGCCTCCTTGAGGACGCCCATGTTTGCAGAGGGAGGCCCCTCTGCCTGTGAGAGCAGGACAGAGGCGACGGTCTGGGCTCTGGCCCCCCAGCCGCGGACCCGGCCTCCACGTGGTCGGCTCGGTCCAGCCACCGCGGGCTCACAGCCTCTCCAAGAGGTGCCCTGGAGACTCCCGAGAGCTCCAAGCGACTCCGAGACACAGGGACACGTGGGATCTGGGAAGTGAGCACCACGTGGGACTTCACCAGAGGCGGACGTGGTCCCTGACTGCCCATAGAGAGCTGGTTCTACAGGAACTTAGCCATGGACACAGCACCCAGGCGCCTCCTTCCTGCCCTGACCTAAGGGAACCCCCTCACGCCGAGACCCCAGCCTCGGACCAGACATCTGCAGGCACCAAGGACGCTGGCTCCCGGCCCACGCGGGGACCCGAGATAAGTGTCTCCCTGGGAGAGGGGTCAGCATCTGTTAGGCGCTGACTGGCGTTCCGACAGGCAGAACCTGAGAAAAACCCTGGGCTCGTCGCCTACACTGCAGGCTCCAGCCCTTCTGCCCTGGGCCACCCTGAGAACACTGAAGGCTGCCCAATTGTCTTGGGGCGGTTTTTTTTTAGCATCTCCCAAATATTTTTATTCTCGGTGTGTGAACGGCAAACTCTCTGCAGAGCCTCCAAGATCACACCTCGAACATTCCCCCTTCTCTGGGCCATGGGAGCACCAGGAGCAAGGTCAGCCCCATGGCTCCCTCCTTCCCGCGGCCACACTGAGCACTGTCCATGGTCCAGCCAGCACTCAGAGCCACAAGGGCCTGGAGCCCCCACCCCTGCAGGGCAGCTGGGGGCTTCGTCAGCCCAGCCAGCAGATCCTGGATCTTGGAGACCCCCAAACCCTGCACATATGGCCCTGGGGGGAAACCCTGCCTCTCCCATGGGGCAGAAGAATCCAGACCACCGGACAGAGCCCTCGCGTTGGGTGTCTGGGAAGAGCCCGCCAAGGTCTGTTCCCACCCAGCCCGGGGACTACGTGGGTCCTGCAGTCAGAGACCTGGGTTTGGGTGCAGGCTCTGTCATCCACTAGCTGTGTGACTCTGAGGATGTTCCTCAGCCTCTCGGAGCCTCAGTTTTCTCTCACAGAAAACTGCCAAAGCCCGCTCCCACGTGGCTGTCCCAGCACAAGGGCCCTGATATGTGCCGGTCCTGACTGGATATTGAAATGAAATGGAATTGGGGCATATTAAGTTTAAAAGTTGATGTTTTAAAAAAAATGGATCAAAGTACTTGCCTTTGGCGCTTAGTAGGTCAACAAAGGTCCGTTCCCTGCAACCCGAAGGAGCCGAGTCCTGCTTGCGACACTGGACATGTGCAGACCCTCCCTTTGGGAAGCCAAGTGTGGCCCCAACTCTCTTCATGGGGCCAAGCAGGTCCCCCACTGGCCCTGCCCCAGCTGGTCTCACTCACCCCTTCCCTGGCAGCTGGACACAGACTGTGGCGGCCACACCCTTCCCCACGGCGTGGGCCCAGATGGAAGCCGCTTCCACAAGCCACCCGCCAGCGTTGTCCCAAGAGCCCGGGCGCCCAGCGGGCCCACCGCCTGACCATGACTCCCTCGGGGGCAGAGCTCACCTCCGGCGCTGAGCACCCAGCAGCCCTCGAGGCCCGGCCTTCGGGAGCTGAGAGCGTCCACAGGTCCTGGCACCGGACGACTTCGCGTTGTGCGCAAAAAAGGCTCAAGCTGGAGGGCGCCTCTCCACTCCACCGCCGGCTCCGCTCCACGGCGAGGGCGCCTGGCCCGGCGGGTGGGCAGGGGCCGCTCACCTGGGCCTCGAACACGGAGCGCGGAGAGGACTCCTCGTCCCAGCAAGTCGCAGGAGGTTCTGGCGGCGGGAAGGGCGGGAACTGCGCTTTTGCCTCCTGGAGCCCGCCACCCACGCCCAGGCCGGAAGTTGGACACACCCAGTGCAGGAATCCTGGGGGGCAGGGCCGGGCTCCCAGGAAACTGGGCCAGAGGTTCCCGAGCACGAGCTCCAGCAGCTGACCCCACCCCCAGGCCTCCTGGGGGTTTGCAGGCCCTGCCCCCACCTCCCGTCCAGACCCCACACTCAGAGGCCCCAACCCCAGAGACCCTTCTCCAGGGCCCACCCGCGAACACCCATCAAGGGCTGCCCAGGCCCCGCTGGGTGCCAGGCAACATCACCATAGTTAA